TACTGGTTAAAAGGTTTGGGTTTTGGTTTACCTTGGTACAAACCATCCCCGATTTGTACTTTACTTTTCGGTACCGTCTTCTTCCTGGGAGAAATCATAGCTTGGACGTTTCTCTTCTTAGAGCTAACACCTTTCAGCATTACTGTAGCTTTAGCCGCTTTCTTCCGTGTCCCTTGAGCATTCTGATCAGGAGCCACACTTGACTCCGAAACCACCATGTGATCTACTCCATTCTACCCAACTACGATATGTTCTCTATAACAAAGCCAGAGGAAACATCCGTATCATCCAGCTCCACAGACGCATCGACACTCCGTTGTTGTTCCTCCTCTGTCTCGTCCTCCATATGCTCATGATTCTCATCAATACCTTCCTTTCCTTTTTCAACAATAGGATTACCAATAGAACCAAGCAGAACCTCATTTCCAGTGCCTTCTACTTCTTCAATCTGATCCTCTTGCTCCACCATAGTAAAGTCTTCTTTCACATTAACCTCTTCTAGATCTGAGGGTCTCGGCTCTTCTCAATTCCTAGCAGGCACCAACTCTCCTAAATCCGCCTCTTCCATTATCGAGTCAAATTATCAATTTGGAGTCAATTTGTAATTATTTTCGTAACAACAGTTTTTTTTTTTAAATCAAAAAAACTAAAAACATACAAAACTTAACAAATCGAAAGAAAATCCATAAAATTTCAAAAAATTTAACGCAAAATATATTAAATTTTAGATAAAAATTAAAACTATAGTTTCAGTTTTATTTTAGAGAAAAATTAAATCTTTAAAATCCCAAAATTTTTTAAAATTACAAAATTTATTAATCTCTAAATTAGGTAATTGAAAATGTAATGTATATAGAGTTCCAAAATTATATATTTTGAAACCAATGAATTTGTTAGACAAAAATAAACACAAGTTTTTAAAATGTTGGTCAACAAATATGGTTTAAATTATATTGAATAAATTTCAATAATTTAGAAAAAAATACATAAACGACATATATATTACACTTTTTCTTCAGAGAATATTTTTATATGTGCTTTCCGTACTATCCCAACATTAAATAGTGAC